AATGTTTATTTTTGGCAAATATGCAAATACTGGAAGTTTTCACTTACATCTGACAATTTCCTTCCCTCTCGCTTTTTTTTTTTTTTTTTTTAAACTGTGAGCCAGTAAATTGCTGCTGAGCACCGCGACAGCCAAGTAGCCTTTGTCAGTCTTTGTTTCTGGATGCAATCCTGAAATTTCCTCAGTTACAAGGAGCAGGCTGGGCATGTGTGCGTATTCGGGAAGAAAGAAGTTATCTAGATCTTTTGATGTATAGGAATTAATATTTTTTAATTACGAGAAGAATGTACACTTTAGCTGTACTGAAAATAAAGTTTACGGTTACATCAGCCAGATCAATTGGCACATAACTGTACTTGCAGTGAGTCTGTTTGTATAAATGGAACAGTAACATCACAAGGAAAGAAAAATATGCATATTTGTAGCAGAGTTTTCAAGTGAGTTTCCTCCTCAATTCAAGAAGCAAAATCAAGTATACCATCTAAAAAACAAGCAGTTTATATGCTTTCAGTGTTGCAGGGTCACAGCATTTGGGCCATAGCAGTGGGCAAAAAATACACTTCATGAAATAGTACAAAAAAGCTAGAGTCTAGCAATTTTCTTTTTCTTCTCATGGAAAATTACCCAATTGTGCTGATTTTCTCCTCTTTTTGTTTATAAAACCAACGTGGCATGTATTAAGCACTGTTTGGTTTGGAGGAAGATGTCCCGGGGAAGAAGTCTCAGTCTTTGACCTTCACAATCACCCTACTTAAGCAGAGAACAGTACCAGGTAGCCTTGGATAATCAAGACCCCGTTGTATTATGGAGTGCGGTTATTTTGAAGAATAAAAAGTTAAATCTTTGATTACTGCTATATTTGGGTGGCAGGCAACAGAAGTTACTGGTTTCTTTAACTTTACTGTTTGTCTTGTGCGTTTCTGCAGCTCAGGATTTGGGGATCACACTAAAGCAAAAATAGCTGTTTCCATCTATGGGGGAGGCACTTTTTAACACACACACACACACACACACACACACACACACTCCAAAATAGTGTCTTAAATTTCCATCACATTTAGAATTTAGCCAAGCAAGCTTTCATTATTTCTTTTAAGCCAAAAGAAAATGACCACCAAATAACTCAGTTCTGTGCCAGTAAGCCTCTAAGCATCTTTAAAGACACAAACTTATTTATTTATTTTGTTGGTACTGGGGATCGAACTCAGGACCTTCCGCTTGCAAATCCCTGGCCCCTAAAGACACAAACTGATGTTGAATTCTGCAAATCCACTTGCCAATGTCTTCATAAAAAGATAAATACTTAACAGAGTAATATAAATGTTTTTGGTGGAAACTCAATTTGTTTCTTCGTGTTATTGTCAGATATTTCTACAGAATAAGAAGTATTGAAGAAATTCCTAGAATCACAAATCAAAACACTGAGTAGGAACATCTTTTTTAGATATCATAGTCTTGTTTTAAGCAACGTTAATTGCTCAGTATTTTGAAAGTTTTTTCCTTTATGTTGAGTTTAAAACCTGTGCATAATTAAGAAGATATAGTAAATCTCCTATATTCCTTTGCTCTTTTTCATTCATCCCTGTTTCATTCACCCATTCTCCCATAGATCCATCTCCAAATCTTTACTTTCAAGTTCACAAGACTGTCAGACACTGGCAAATTCATTTAAAAGAAAGTGAAAAGGCACTGTCCCCATCTAGGAGAAAGGCCTACCATACCATGTTCTACAGTGGCAGTTCTCTATATTCCCTGCCCCAGCCAAGACAGATAATACTCATATGCTTCATATTTTCCCTGAGTGGAGGCAAAGATAAGTTAGATGGCCAGGGAGTTAGCTCAATGACACTGCCTACCTTGCAAGCACAAGGTCCTGAGTTCGATCCCTAGTACCAAAAAAAAAAGATGTTAGACTGTAGCTTACACCCACTTTCTTGACCTATCAGTTGTAACTCTATTCCTATTTCAGCAAAGCATATTGGAATATAAATGACCAGGAGTGATATTATAGAAGTAACACTCTACTTCAGTACTTCAGCTTTTATTAGTACAATAAGCTAGCGTTGATGAAGACACACCAGGATGGCCCAATGCAGTGGGGTACCTCCAGTCTCATGGAGGAGCTAGGATGTTGACAGCTGCTTCCTCCCTAGCTGTTTAGTGCTTCTAAGGGAGCTGTGCCTCCCCATGGTCTTTTCTTCTTAAGTATTACTAGACTGTGGGACTGCATAACCTTTGTTCCTTTTTCTCCAGCCCCATTGTGATTAAAATGTGAGTTAATGGATGGAGATGCTTGTTAGTTTAGGGACGCTAGATAGGGATCTGTAACAGACCTAGAGTCCCAGAGTAAACTACTCAACTCTTTGTTTACCCAGAACTGATATTCCAGGCACCACAATTGTTAGAACAAGCT